CACCCACGCACACCCACGCACACCCACCCACACCCAGGCCCACACCCACACCACACCCACACCCACACCCACACCCACACGGACACGCACACGCACATTCACGCGCGCACGCCCGCGTGCGAGCACCGAGTATGAGTTCACTGTTACCCCGAACACTCGAAGCCTAAACCCGGCCAATCCACCCAATGAAACACATCATTAATTATCCACCTTCGGGCTCCTTCCCTGAAGTCCACGAAGGCCTGCCGCCCCCCGCTCCTTCGTGGACGACTCTTTGCTTTCGGCCTCCACATTAGACTGTGGGCTTCGGGGCCTTCGGGCATAGATTCCCAAGGCTTTTTGCATTGGTTTTGGGACTCAGAGTCCTTCATGGGTTTCCTTGTGAATCAGCAAGGCCTGATGACTCTGAATTTGTTCTCGGTCGGCATCCTGAGAGATTTTCGATTGAGCTGCAAACCGTTTCAGGATGCTGGAGGTGGCCTCACTGGGCGATTAGAGAAAGACAGTCAGAAAGAACGCTTAGAGTAAATGCAATCGGAAATCGAAGTATATGTCGTGCCTGAGTTAGACTATTGGGGCGAGCGTCACCATGTCGTCTTGAATGATACTACTGGCTACTACGGACATTGTTGATGTGATAAGACCCTCGTTTGTGCAGCTGCCTTGCATGATTCCTGCTTGATCCATCGAAACAATCGTCCGAGCTTCAGACCAAGAACGGATCAGGGTTGCGCTTAGAATTCAGCCGGTCAGCAAGCCGGTTCGGGCAACTTGGAAGGCTTACATGCTGGCTTAGAAGCATGGCTCCAAGTCTCTCAGCTTTTGCGTGGCTGAACACTCCGACCACAAAACTCTAAGAGCAGCTCGAAGCTCTCAAGCCAGCAACCTTAGGCTCCAAGGCCCACTCCAGGCCAGCTGACGCACAGGTGTGCCTGTTGAAACTCCCAACTTCAAAAACGAAACTCAACCAAAACGCCGAAGAGAAGACTGCAAATCCAAGCACAAACGGACGAAGCCCTCATCAAAGCGTGCAGCAAAGCGACTGCCGAACCATTCAGTGCATTCACCTGGTGGGTTGTTGGATCTCCAAGCACACATAGGAGCCATTGAAAGTCGTAAGAACTAGCTGCTACAAAAGACCCTTGACAAGCATGGGAATGATTGATGGTAGGTGAAAGCCCTCTAGAACTTTGGTCCTCAGCCTTGCATTTCTGTTTTATCAAGGGTGGGTCGCCAAGCATCGGGATACCCCTTTACAAGCTCGCCGAAAATTCGTGACACTGTTTCCGATCCTGCAGCACTGCTAGTTAACTCGGCATCCGGCCCATCATCTCGGGTCTTGACGGATACCGAAGGCATAAGACTGTTTGTGACTTCCCCCTGTTGTCGACAGGGTTGGAAGGCTTACTGTGGCTCATGCATCAAAGCGAGTCCCGTCTCGACACATGAAGTGGGATCACAGGCTTTGTTCATGAGGCTGAGCCATAGGAAGATACGCCACACTGGCTCGCAGCTGCTTGTGCTTTCCGGGCAGGTGTTCCGAACGTAATGCCATGCAAATCCGTGAAATATCTGCAACCTAACCACGCCCTCTTGAACTCCAGTCTGCATCCGGGCATCAAAAGTACAAAGCCCCTTGAGCTGTAAATCGACGGCCTGATCCTGGGATTGACGTACTGGTAACTAGTAGCACAACACACTGAAGCCCTCAAACATGGACTTTGGCATGTTTGAGGTTTCTCGAGTCTCTAGGGAACAAACTCTAGACTTTTCCCTTGCAGTGCCCAGGCCCCCGCCTGCAGTTTGACTTGCTCCAGTTCGGCGAACTCCGCCTGTGGCAGAGTTCAAGGACACTCTGAAAAAGGTGTGGAGAGGCGGATCGCAGGGCCTTGGAAGTGTCGGTAGCTTGTCCGCACGAGGCAGGAACGGCTTCGGCTTGTATACACCAGGAAGCCACAAACTTTCGAAGTGCTCCAAGATGATATCTGGTAAGACTAGATTGCATGTCTCCACTCAGCGTAATCCTTTCTGGCACGAAAACCAGCTAAATTGGACGGGGGGGGCCTAGGTCCAAGCCTTTCGTCCACACACAACGGCAACCACGAGCTCACAACAATCATACGATCGATTCAGGAGAGACAAGGCACTCCCTTGTTCTTGCAGTGGCACCTTCTCAGTCATCGATGTCGTAAGTGTTCGGACCTGACAAGAAGTGCTTCCGAGATGTCTCGTCACTATTTCATCACGATTCTAATAATCAAAGAATTATGACACTACAATCACTACAAACATAAACTGACGGCGAGGGGATATGTTTGCTGATTCAGTCTGCCATGTTGCGCTGCTATTCGACAGCCTGTGGGCGTCGCACAAGCTGCTTTGCAGTTGCTCTGCGGGGCTTTTGGCTTGGAGAATGCATGAGGTTTAGGGTCCCATACTCAAGCTCGGTCAACCTCCTGGGCAAACAAACCTAAGAAACCGACACCTCGTACCATCGTTTGCAACCGCGAGAAAACTTGAACGATAAGTAGTGTCGTGAGGACCTTGACGTCCGGGAGGTCATAACGCAGAGTCACTCTGAGGCCCTGAACCCAGCTGTGACCACTACCATGTCCTAACCTCTTTTCTAGTCCTCGGCCCAGCCATCTCAAACACCCCATGAAGTAAAACACTGAAGAAGTCCGCGCAAGCCGAACACAGCTCCAAAGATAGCGATGCATACTAGGTGCCCGATACCGTTAGCTGAAAAGTTGGAAGGCTCTTGGCTGATCCAAACGTGGCTGTTCGGTTGCGTAGTCGATCTGGAGATGTTGAAGTGGCCCAACAGCCGCACTTCCCTCGCTCATGCCGGATCCAACCCCGAACCCTCCACACGGTGTCAACACCCGCCCACGTAACAAAGGGGATGGGTGGGGCCTGCGGCGTCGAAGCTGCCTGAACCCTGAAGGCTTCGAGAGCTCTGAACTCCTCCCCTCCAGCAAAGCAAAAACACTCACGTCACATACCTACACTCACAGAAGTATCACATAGCTCTATACGGTGCAGGCACTTCGAAAAGCCTGAAGCTTCGGGAATCCCAAACGCACTAAAAACAATAGCGGCACCTTTGTCAAACTCAAAGCGTGCCTTGCTCATGAGCTGCTCAACTAGGGAGCTGTCGACCTGCAATGAATCCGGGGCTTTTGGTTAAATTTTGCTTCACCCGAAAAGATATTCAGCACAACAGCTGCGTGGGAATACAGTCGTATGAAAATGAAACACAGTTGTGCAGGGCAGCTTCAAATCATAAGCTGGTTTACGGGGGGCCAAATCTTGTGTGGTTGTCTAAACGCAAGCAAAAGCCGCGGCTGGGCTCCCCTGTTAAAGTGTTTGTGTTCATACTACACGCTTAGGGTTCTTGGGAAAGCCAAAGGAGGGTAAGGTTCATCATCTTCTTATTCACTGCTGCCACCTACTTATTTCAGGGCTCTTGCTGCTGGCGTTGTACTACTTTGCACAAACACTTCGATCTTCTCATAGCCATAGAAGCCGAGAAGGATGTTGGTCGCAAGAATTTAAAACAAGCAACTCCAACAGAACAACTTGTAGTCTTGCATCGCACTATATGTGGGAGTCTATGTCTATGTGGTCGCGTACCTTCATCAAGTTATCTATCGTTGCGACTACTCTCAAGTCCTGTGAGTCTGTAGGTACCGGTGAGTCTGTGAGCAAAACGCGGTGCGCCTTGCTCATGTCAGAGCAAACCATAAAATCGAAATACATGTAGCTATGAAGCTGGAATCTGTTCTCCACTCCGCAACAACACAGGATGCACATGAGCAACATCGTGGCGCAAATTGGTCCTGGGCGGGGGTCACCATGTCTGACCATGTCTATACACATGTGTAGCAGGTATGTATATGTATGTACATGTGTGTACACATATATACACACATACAAAAATATATACATCCATCCATCCATCCATCCATCCATCCATCCATCCATCCATGCATGCATGCATGCATGCATGCATGCATGCATGCATGCATGCATGCATGCACATAATACACATTTTTTTATAGATAAACGTATCATGGACAAACAAACACACCTAAATCGATACATGCATACATACGTACGTACGT